GCCGTAGAGCCGATATATAACACCTATTTCTTAATTCTATTGAAATTCCGCACAATTAGCCAGTCTTTATTCTGTATGCCCTTTAAAATATTTTTGAGCGTTCTGCTAATATTTCATGTGAAGAAAAGCCTAATTGACTAGTAGTCTCCTGAACAATTGAGGATTCTCATTAAATATTTTTTATTGTTCATTATTGCATAGCTAACATGATTATATGCATGCGTGTTGGAAACTCCTTATGTCATTCTCTTTCTCAGTAATATCATACAATTTGGTAAAAATGTCATGGTCTCATTTGTGATCATCCCAGATGAGTGACTGATTTGAACCCTTTATTGCCGTAATGTCAGAAATAAATCTATTGCATACGGTAGCATCATAATAGTCAACTTTGCGCTACCCGCGACGAAAGAGAGACTAGGCTTGGTTCCATCATTTTCCATGCACAATATATAATGTAGTTGGTCAAAACCAAATCCAGACACAGATTGGGGTTGATCATGTGGATAAGACTGATACAGAAATGACTATTAATTCTGTAGTATAACTATTAACATCCGGATTCACAGTGCAAAATATCATGGAATTTTGATCATTCGAGTTTTCCACACTTTCTGAGCAACACAAAAATAAATTAAAATAAATTAAAGATAAATATATAATTTCTAGCAAGTTACTTGGGCCTAGAAAACATACATCTTTACCAGGCATGCTCATGCTAACTTTGATTAGCCTATTCTCAAAAAGGAAATTTCCTTAAAATATGAAGAATTTTCTCAAAGCAGGTGATCCAGCATACCATCTAATCTACATCAATTTTGTTCCCCAAATGTTTATAGTGCTTAGACATTGCAATAAAAAATGTTTTTACAAACTCAAGATTATCGTGAGCCATACAGATTCCTTGTCGGATATTCTCAAGGAGCGATAAAGTTAAACTAAAAGTAGCTTAAGATCGGTCATTTTGTGCATATGGACTAAAGGCAAAATATATTCTGTTTCATCCCGTTGGTTCTCCCTAAAACTCATGATTCAGACATCTTACCAGATCTGGGCGAAGGAACAATCGCCTGACTGCCCTCGCTGCCTAGCTGCGTTCCATCGTTTGGCATCAACTTTTTCAGGTAGGCTGGAAGTTGAATAACTCGCATTTTGTTCATATAGTTGGCCCACTGACGGTGAAAATCGACAAGATCGTACATCATGACCGCGAGAGAATCAAACATATCTTTTCCGCACTCTTCCTGGAAAAAGGGTTAAAATGGAGATTGATTAAGGTAATAGACTTCGTTTAACTTGAAAAAAAATCAAGTCGAGAAGGGTATCTAATCAGGAGTTCCAACCTTGTCTAAGCAAGCCTGTCAGCCGATTCAATAGATTGAAGCTGAAAATCCAATGGTTGATAATTTGTCAGGCATATTATTGCCCATTATATGGAATGTTTGAGGATAGAATTCGTGGAATAGTGCTGTGTGATTGTCTGTTGTCGCTTCTCTAGCTGCTAGAATGGGTAATCAAATTAAATTGTTTAGCTCTTACTTTAAAAAAGCGCTGCTATAGCGAGAGGATCATACGAAAGTAATTTTATCAAATTTGTGTGTTTGGTTTAAATTGTTAGTTGTGATTTTTCTAATGGCTCATTGTATTAACTATTACCTCCCATCTAAACAATCAAAAAGCTATACAGCGCATTATGAAAACTAAGCGAATG